TTGGATCTCCTCCATCTTCCACAGGTCTTCGAGGGCAGGTCTGTGGCCGCTCAAACTCACTATTGGACACTCCTATGGAGAAACGTACACAAGCACGTGTCCGCACACAGGTGCTCACACGGTCCTCCCACAAGTATGGACTTGGGCCTTTTTGACACACACCCTGGGGTTGTGGTTGGCACTAAATGCACCATGAATTATTACCGTGTGCTTTTCAGCAAAAATTGTTACTGTTATGTATCATCATGTTGTTGGTGCAGTGTATTTTTGTTCTGTTGTACTTTCGTGTGTCTCCTTTTTGTTTTCTCTCCATATTTCTGTAGGTCTAGAAGCAGATTCTTCTACATCCTTTATTATTTTGTGAACTCTTTCCCCCACCTCATACTTTCCACTCCTCTCCTCCCTTTCCTTTTCATTTTCGTGTCCATGTCCGGAGGGGTTTAAAACAACCAAAAGCATTTCTAATGAAGTTTGATATCAGACGTGGCACTATAGCTGAATCTATGACGCTCCACCTGTGAGAGTAAAACTGTAAAGCTTGTTTTCGGTACTCAGACGTCGATTCTGACTGCTTTACAGCTGGTAGCTCATTTAAGGCTAACAGTGAGCTTTTCAGTTTTCCAAAAAGCACAGCAATGAGAGGAAGACGTTTGCTTAGTAAAGTAAGAGAGTGATATCTTTGGAGGTGAAGCTAAAAGCTAAAACCTCGAGCTCTGCTGCTCAGTGAGCAGAGAAGTCTGCTTTATGGCTCGTCGTGATGTTTGCATTGAAGCTTCATGCTGTGCCTTCAGTTAGCATCAAGAGGCCCCTTTAGTGAGGATCACTTCTGATGTCCTCTTGTTTCTAATATTGTAGATGAATAAAGAACAAACTAAATGGACACCTTTAATGAACTGGAATAGATTTTTAAAGCTTACTAAAATCAGCATCTGCCAGTTGATGATGCAGCAGCACTTGTGAAGCTTCTTGACCCATCAAATATTCACGCTGGATGCATTAAAAATGCAGGAGGTTAACAATATTGTGTAATTTCTCTGATCTGTCTCAGACTGATCGTCCTTAAAGGGCCAAAACACACAGCCGCCCACAGAGACACACAGCCGCCCACAGAGACACACGCGATTTCCTGGTGCTGTGTTCCTCACTCTGGGTCTGCAGTTGAAACACATGGATGCTTACAGCTTCTATAGGAAGTGTGTCTAATCAGACAAAATGTAGGCGTCAGTGAGCCCTCCCACGTCCCAGAATGCTAACCTTGGCTTAGTCCTGCAGGACATAACCAAGACATTTTACTTTCATACCTAATTCACTACTTACATCAGATTTCATCATTCAGGAGGAGCTCAAACCCAGCTGTGATGGTCATGCTGATGAAGTAGGGGGGTCCACGCAGGTGGTGGGTGCTTTGTTTAGAACAGAAAATTTCATGGAAATCAGCATCTAAAGGGAAATTAGACCATGTTCCATACTGCTAAAATCCACTTCACATTACTCTTCTTTCTCACAGCTGTTTGAGGCTCCGCCCACACAGGATTGGTGTTTTTTTTTGGGGGGGTGCTTTAGAGTGAATGAAGACATGTTCGGAACCAGAGTTGTATTTATTCAAATACTTTCAAAAAGAAGGAAAATTATAATTTAAGAAAGGAAAAGAGTCCAAATCATCAGCCCCCCACCACCGTGCCGACAGCTGGTACGAGATGTACAGACTCCTACAGAATTGATCACAATTGGAGTCGGATTTGAATAATTACTTCTAATAATCGCCTTGGTTATCTCCTGATAAATAAAACCCAAAAATTAAAAGTGAGTGAATTGTTTATTTACCATGATTGTAACATTATAGAAACAAAAGAAAACAACAAAGTGGCTGAGGGAACGACAGAAAGATAGCCCCTTTAACAGAGAGTCTGAGTTTCCCTTCATCAAATCAATAGATGAATTTTTGTGGTAGAAATCAGAGGTTTGGCTCAGTAATAGCTGTCTGCTTTATCTCATTTCATGCTGGGAATTAAAATCTGAAACAGCTTCTTGGGAAATGATGTCTGAAACTATAAAACCACCATCTGTGCAGCAAACTTTGGGCATAAAATTTTTAAAATATAAATCTTTCATCCTGTTTTTATCAGTTAAAAAAAGAGGCGTTACATTTATGCATAACTGACAATTGTTGGGCTTGTTGTTGGCTTGGATGGATGGATGGATGGATGGATGGATGGATGGATGGATGGATGGATGGATGGATGGACGGACGGACGGATGGATGGACGGACAGATGGGTGAATTGATGGATGGATGGATGGATGGATGGATGGATGGATGGGTGAATTGATGGATGGATGAATGATGGATGGATGGATTTATGGATGGATGGATGGATGGATGGATGGATGGATGGACGGACGGACGGATGGACAGACGGATGGGTGAATTGATGGATGGATGGATGGATGGATGGATGGATGGATGGATGGACGGACGGACGGATGGACAGACGGATGGGTGAATTGATGGATGGATGGATGGATGGATGGATTTATGGATGGATGGATGGATGGATGGATGGATTTGTGGACAGGTGAATTGATGGATGAATGAATGGAAGGATGGACGAATGGATTGATGAGTGGAGGGATGGACAGACGAATAGATGGATGGATGGATGGATGGATGGATGGATGGATGGATGGATAATTTACTCAGCACCCAGAGGAGAGCAGGAGGTCAATAAGCTCTTACATGGTTCCATCTTACATCTGTCACTTTGCATGGTCATCAGTCCTCTGTCTGCTGATGGTGTCTGTGTGTGTGCGTGTGTGCGAGCGTGCGTGCGTGCGTGCGTGCGCATGTGTGTGTGTGTGTCATAAACGTCTCTGAAGCGTTAACGATCAGGCCGAGGAGCCGACTGACTCAACTTGCTGTTTAAAGGCAGCGTTTCTCCTTCCCCTCTCAACCATGAGTGGCATTCTGTCTGATGATGCTGCTGAAGAAGGGTTGCCATGACTCCCCCGAAAGAAGATGAAGATGTCATGATTCAATTTGTCTGTGGAAGAAATTAATCAGATGACATCTTATAAATACGATGTCCCACAGCTGCTACGTCAATGCAGTGTCATCCACGCTCATCTGTCCCAGACGTTTTCACTAAACAATCCTCAGCTCTTGTCTGTCGGAGGAAAACCAGCCCGACATGTCAGCTCAATCTGCCTCGCCTGAAAAGTGAGCATCCTCCTCTGGGTTTCGCCTTTATTGTTGCTTCAGAGAAAACGTGTGGCAAGACGTTTGACAGGATGGGTGTGCAGAGATGTGGCTGAAGTTTGAGCGACACAAATAATAAAGTTTGCTCAGATGTCAGGATGGCTGTCAACACATCAAAATCCCAAGAAAATCACGTTCCCACCATACTTCAGCCCCTGCAGCGATCCTCTCATAAACATGGACTGCGACAAGACTGGAGAGCACTCCACCATGGTGATGGAATTACAACAGAAAACTGGATATTTGAAAAGAAAGGTGCTTAAAATCATCGTTCTCCCTCTGTTTACCAATTAATAATTTATTGGATCAACAAGAACTTCAAATACAGAAGCAGTTGTTGTGAAGGCGTCAGGACACCAAGAGAGTTAACATTAGGACATCAGGTTGTGGGATCAGGGCTCCTTCAGTGACAAGCTGATGTTCTAGCTGGACCCACTGGCTGATTGTTTGACAAATACTGAAAAATCTCTTTAGAGAGGACAAGCTGCCTGCAGCTCTGGAGCCACGATGGCTCCTAAAGAACAAGTTCACTCATTTCCTCAACACATTTACAGTGGTCTGGTATAAAAGAATACCTTGTGAGCTGATCTCTGTGGGAGGAAAAATTCTGGCACTCCTGTTTCAGGAATTAAAAGTCAGATGGGGGAGCAGAAGACAGCAGGATTTGAAGTCAGACATCTCTCCTCTGATTGGCTAACAGCAACACAACTCTTGACTCCGCTCTGCAACAATGATGCTTCATCTCAATAACACAACCTGTCCCGCCTCTCGTCTCCCAATCACTGTAGATCCCAGCTCCTCGTGGATTTAAACCCTCCCAGTTCTGTGTCCCTTGTTTTGATGTCCTGTGTGCCTTTCATTAAAACCTTTAAGCGTTCCTGTGTCTGTCTGCCTTCTTCCTCCACACTTGGATCCTCACCTGTGACAGGAAACGCCATGTAAACACAGTGCAGTCAGATGAGGTGTTACCAGCCAGGAATATAGTGAAGTTAAAGCTAAAATACCACCTTAACTGAACTGGTGGAGCTTAAGACAGGTGTAGCATCCCTGAAAGGTCTCAGTGCAGAAATAGCTCCGATTAGAGAGACCCTGCTGCAGCCAGCACCCCAGTCTCATGGCCCACAGCCAGCTATACGACATGACGGGGACTAGCAGCAGTCGTATTTTAGCTTACAAAGCCCCCAACTGAGCCCACTACCTAGGACAGCACTACAGTTATCCAGCTCGCTGAGGAGATGTCCTAATTGCCAGCAAAGCTGAACCAGACCAAGCTAAACAGATTACATTGGACTGCAGATCTCATGATCCTCCAGTTTTAAGGGTGTAACACTTCATCTACCTTGAGTTTTTATACAACCGAGTCGTCCACTGTACTTGCCGTCCTCAGTTCTGTACTGATAGTATTTTGAATACTCACCGTTACCTGAGGTTGAATTGCCAGCAATATATAAATTAAGTTGGACCAAAACAGCTTTTACCATGTCTGATGTTCCAGAGATCACATCACGTGTCCGAATTTAAAGTTTTGCTCAATTTTTTTTAAACCCTCCCACTGTTCTTATGAGTGACCCCGCAAGGGAAGTTTACCATTGAGCAGGATTGATGGTTTATCCCTTGAGGTCCACATCACCTCTGCTCTAGGCCAACTTTCCTCACGGGGTCACACTCATTAGAACAGTGGGAGGGTTAATATCTCTATGTGTAGTTTTAACCATTTGAGAACTTCAATAAGGAAAGATCTGTGCTAGGTTGACAGTTCAGAACTTTATTCTTTAACTTCTTGCTTTCTGTGGGAAAATTTTCTTCTGCTGCCCAGAGGCATGAGTGGAGGGAGTTTCAGGAACATGCTCCTTCAGGTAGTGGATGCTCTGGTAGTAGTCCTTGCCCTTCTCGTGGTTCTTACTGAACGTGGTGTAGGTGCCGGGAGGGTACATGCCATACAGGAGCCTATAGTCAAAGTTAGGGTAAGGAGAAGAGTAGGAGGCTGGGTAGATGTAAGGGCTACCCCAGAAGACTCCATAAGGCAAAGGGTAACTGGGAAGTCCTTGTCCAGGCCCCATGCCGGCACTTGGGTAGCCAAATTCTTCAGTTTCATGCTGGTACTTTCCGAGTTCAGCTTCCTTCAGAACATTGGAAGTCTCCCCAGACATGAGGGCTGGTCCTGATTGTGAGGTACTTGGGTAGCCAAATTCTTCTGTCTCATGCTGGTAGTTTCCAAGTTCAGCTTCCTTCAGAACATTTGAAGTCTCCCCAGACTGGAGAGCTGGTCCAGATTCTGGGGCACCTGGGTAGCCAAATTCTTCAGTCTCACGCTGGTAGTTTCCAAGTTCAGCTTCCTTCATAACATTGGAAGTCTCCCCAGACATGAGGGCTGGTCCTGATTGTGAGGTACTTGGGTAGCCAAATTCTTCCGTCTCATGCTGGTAGTTTCCGAGTTCAGCTTGCTTCAGAACATTTGAAGTCTCCCCAGACTGGAGAGCTGGTCCCGATTCTGGAGCACCTGGGTAGCCAAATTCTTCCGTCTCACGCTGGTAGTTTCCAAGTTCAGCTTCCTTCACAACGTCGGAAGTCTCCCCAGACTGGAGGACTGGTCCTGATGGTGCAGGGTTTTGGGAGAGAAGTGTGCTGGAGTCAAGGGCCTGGCTTTTGGCCAAGCCTTCTTCAGAGAAGATTCTAGGATAAACCGCCCACTTGGTTTCTGGGGAAATAGATGTTAGTATTTGTCAAATGTAACCAAATACACTTTATACCAAATGCACTTCATACCTGGTAGACTGGACCCAGGACCTCCAGCCTGAGCAGAGCCAGAATCATACACTGCTGGTAGAGGTACCAGAGGAACAGCACCAACTGGATACTCTGCTTGAAAACCAGGATATCCAGGACCAACCTTGACAGAGCCAGCACTAGCAGGAACCCATTCCTCAGATGTAAAACCCATCCCTCCTGGTGCTGGAGCACTCTGGGCAAACATGTAGGGACTACTGGGAGCTGGTCCAAACATTTGTCCTTTTCTGTCTTGCCTAGAAGTGCTGTACATGGGTGCATAGCGACCAGTGGCCGATCCCTGTTGAGGACCAAAGTCATCTCCTTGATGACTGCTGCTCTGGCCATGGGATTTGGAGCCTAAATGTAAAACCAAGTTAGCAACCATATTTACCCAAAAGTTGTCACACAAGAACAAACAAGGCTCATTACCTTTAAATGGAAATCCATGTGTATGCAGAATCAGCAAAGCACAGAGGGAAAACCTGAAGGAAACATCACAAAATCATGAGCAGGTACCTTTCTACAGATCAGTTGAGACAAGCATCGCTGTAACATACCCCAGGGAGGCCTGAACAGTCACCATACTGAAAGTCAGCTGTATGGAGAGTGAGCGTGGGGAGGGTTTATATTTGCTGCCAGAGACCAGCCCTGACCAATCAGAGCCTAACGAGTAAACAACACTCAGCTGGAGAGTTCATAGATCATTCAGATTATCTAGTTAAAAACATGTCAGATATAAAAATCGTTGTATTTGATTGCTGATGTTTATCAGTATTAAATTGTATTTAGTAGAACTCTGAGAGCAGAGCAGCTCAGTGTCAGTAAATTTTTTCTAAAATACATTTAATTGCTGCCAAAACTGACATTTTCACAAACAGACTTAAAATGTCACCTTTTGAGGTGAAATCATCAACTAAATTGATAACTCCTCCACTCCAGTCAGCACCTTCAGTACCACTCCACTTTTAGTATTCAGTATATTGTTATTATTGTTGTTGTAATGTTTTAATTGTTATTAATAGTATTATTGTTATTATTGCTATAATTAATACTGTCGTTATTATTATCATTGTTGTTGTTAAATGAATTCATTTAAGATTTCATTCACAAGGTAAGAAAAGTCCCATTAGTTGTCACACACACACACACACACACACACACAGGTGTGTGTGCAAAATTTATTCTCCGCATCTGACCCATCCCCTGGGGGGGGGGGGGGGGGGGAGAGCTACAGACAAACCGCGCTCGGAAGCTATTTGCTGGTTTAACCCCCCAATCCAACCCCTTATTGCTGAGTGTCAAGCAGGGAGGCACTGGGTCCCATTCTTTTTTTCAAAGTCTTTGGTATGACCCGACCAGGAATCGAACCCCTGATCTCCCAGTCCCAGGGCAGACACTCTACCACTAGGTCACTGAGGGTCAACCAGTTAAGAAAGGTATTGAACATTGTTTAGTCAAAAATGACGACGATGGGTTAGGGTTAGTAATAGTTTTTAAAACTTATTCAAAGGAAATGTGTTCCTGTATTTTATTCATAATAATTCAATATTTATGCATCCCAAAATGTTATTCTGCCTTCTTAAAACAACTCTGATTTATATTTGACTCTTGTTTGTACATTTTATTTTTTCACTATTTACTAAACGTGTAAATGTTAGCGACTGCAGCACCAAGGGTCAGCTTCAGCAAGGTGTTTTTTATGTTTCAGCAGAAAAAAATCAGCTCTTCGTCCTTTATCTGTTCCATTAAAATGGTCCCACATTAGACACGAGGCTTATGTGTGTTATGGAGGTTTGTTTATTTAATAAAAACATACTAAAAATGAAGTGATGACTTTGTATTTAGGTCCAAACGTGGAGTAAAAGTGTTCGAGATGGTGAAGCTCCTTGCAGAACACAGTTAACCAGTATGGATCTTGGTGTTCTGGGGCTTCTTCTCCAGCTAATTGGCTCCTCAGAGAGCCACCTTCAGCCACTCACACACACGGTAGAGGTAGACACACACACTGAGGACCTCCCCGCCATCTGCGTGGAGCGGGGTGTGACACACACACACACACACACACACACACACACACACACACACACACACACACACACACACACACACACACACACACACACACACACACACACACACACACACACACACACACACACACACACACACACACACACAGGTGTTCCCCGTTAGCTCCTGACTCCCAGAATCAGCTGTGAGAGATCCCAGTAGCCTTGAGTTGCGTTTGCTTGCTGTGGTTGTGAATGCCTGCAGCGTGTGCGAACATCCGCTTCTTTTTATTTGTCTCCAACTCCCTGGATCCTGCTGCTTCTTTTTGCCCAAGGAGGAGAATCTCCATCACTGTCATGACTCACAGGACGTTTCACACTGAGCCGCAGGGCAACCCAGACCCCCTCCTGGTCAAATTAGAATCAGCATGCAGCAGAAACTCTTCATTTTGATGCAGAAACGCCAGAGAGCTGCCAGGGTTCGGTGCTGCTGACATCTAGTGGTGAGGTGGGGAACTACACCATGGGACTATCAGCAGGAGAATAGACTCGAATAGACTAGACTAGACTAGAATAGAATAGAATAGAATAGAATACCTCTTTATTGTCGGTGGGAACATTTCAATGTCACAGAAGCGATTTTAACAGGAGTAAAAAAAATTTTAATTGTGCACTGAACAGAAAAATGAGTGTGTGTGTGTGTGCGCGCGCGCTTGCGTGTGTGTGTGTGCAAGAAATAGTTAAAAGATGCAAAAGATTCACGTTTAAAATAACAGAGAGACTAGCAGAATATCATAGGGGAGTGAACATGAATCAAGAAATGAGATATAGTAGGTAAGATATGCATGTAACAGTAATAATAACAATTAATGATGATCTAATGAGCTTTGAAAGAAAAGCGTCTGGACTTCTTTGAGTTGCTTGAAGACGTTTCACCTCTCATCCAAGAGGCTTCTTCAGTTCTAAGGTCAAATGGTGGAGAGTCCCAGATTTAAACCCAGTGTGAGTTTCTCCCGATGTAGAGGTCTGGGCATTCCTCACTGAGAAGCCAAACAGCAACTTCACAAGCGCATGGCACAACATAGAAGAGCCACCTCCACGGGACAGGACTCAGCAGTTCATTTGCATCTAAAGGACAAAGGTCACTCTTTCGAGGATGCCAACGTTCACTTTTTGGACAGAGAGGACAGATGGTTTGAAAGAGGAGTAAAGGAAGCCATTTATGTCCACTGTGAGCAACCATCTTTGAACAGAGGCGGTGGTTTACGACACCAACTGTCTGCCATCTATAATCCAGTTTTGAGATCCCTTCCCAGATGCCTCAACGCCCACGCATATCCTGGGCCATCTGACCTCAGGAATTCACATGATAGGGTGGGGCCAGGCTTCACAATGAGCTCACCTGAAACTCTGGCTGAATAGGACCCACACCCACCCTCACAACTGGGCTCATGAGTTTATGTAGAAGATCATCAGGGGGTCTTTTGTTCCCTCTTCGGGGAGAAACTCCTACTGGGTTTGAATCTGGGACTCTCCACCATTTGACCTTAGAACTGAAGAAGCCTCTCGGATGAGAGGTGAAACGTCTTCAAGCAACTCAAAGAAGTCCAGATGCTTTTCTTTCAAAGCTCATTAGACTACAATGACCTGGATGACTGAGAACCTTCACAGACAATTAATGATGATGTGTGCATATTCTTGTGTTAATTGCAGCTTCATGCTAAAATTCCCTGAAAAGATAGAAAACGTTCTGCGGGATGCAAAGCTTCTGTGTTTGATGATGTTCAACAGCTGTCCAGTAAATTAGCATTCACTCTTCAGGAAATACCTCAAATGTAACCAGAAATATTAAAACTCTACAGAGTTTTTATACTTTAAGCTATTGCTTATAGATTATGAGTAACAGAAATTTTAGTAAAAACACACAATTTGTGAAACTGGAGAAATTAGAATACTGTTCAAAGTTACATTTATTTCAGTAAATAACTAGACTGAGAGACCATTTAAAGGCTCGGGAAACTTTGCAGGTTTTTCTATTTGCAATTATAAATTTTAGTTGATTGTTTCATATCACATTGTTCAATTCAATTCAAGTTTATTTATATAGCGCCAAATCACGGCAAGAGTCGTCTCAAGGCACTTCACATAATAAACATTGCAATTCAAAGTTCATGCCAATCAGAAATAATGTTTCCTATATAAGGAACCCAGCAAATTGCATCAAGTCACTGACTAGTGTCAGTGACTACAGTATACAGCAATCCTCATACCAAGCAAGCATAAAGCGACAGTGGAGAGGAAAACTCCCTTTTAACAGGAAGAAACCTCCAGAGAATCCTGGCTCAGTATAAGCAGCCATCCACCACGACTCACTGGGGATGTCACATTGTGACATTTGAATAGTTTAGATCAGTGTCAAGTTTCCTATTTCTTCCTATGAAGTGCCCATTTATTTAAAATTTTCAGTTTTATAAAAAACATTTGTACAAAAGTTTTATTATGTTCCGATCTAGTTAGTCATTTAGGTTTTAGTATTGTAGCAATTCATAGTAAATTAATTCAGTTTAATTAAGAGGAGATTCAATTTTTCTTGCATTTTTTTATGAAAAAGTAACAAAATAGTTACTTTTCTTGGTAATTATTTACTTATAATCTCGTAACTCAATAACTAACTGTTACTTTTGTAAGTAATTAGTAACTATAACTAATTACTTTTTAAAAGTAACGTTCTGGTCATGTCCCACTGATTGATTGCTGGATTAAACAGCATGGTAAAAGGCTCTAAAAAGTGGAGTTTGCATGATATAAAGGTACTAGTTACAAAATTAGAAAATCATGACAAAGTTTATTTTTTTCAATAATTCCAATTAAAAGGAGAAAACTTTATATAAGATGCTTTAATTACACACAGACTGATATATTTTAAATGTTTTTTTTTCATTAATTTTAATTATTAAAACTGACAACTAATGAAAATCCTAAATTCAGTATCTCAGTATATCTATTAAGACCAATGCAAGAAAAGGCAAGACACAAAAGTAGGGTGAAATAGGGATAACCGCACCCTGGAGAGGATGTGAAACAAAACCCATTCAGAAATGTGGAGGAGATTCAGGAAGAGTGGACTGCAGCTAGAGTCAGTGCTTCAAGAACCACCACAGACAGACGTATGCAGGTTTCACTTGTCGCATTGCTTGTGTCAAGCCACTCTTGATCAAGAGACAGCATCAGAAGCGTTTCACATGGGCTAAAGACAAAAAGGACTGGACTGCTGCTGAGTGGTCCAAAGTTATGTTCTCTGATGAAAGTTATTTAGCTTTTCCTCTGGGAACCAAAGTCCCAGAGTCTGGAGGAAGAGAGGCTCAGAATCCATGTTGCGTGAGGTCCAGTGTAAAGTTTCCACAGTGGTTTGAGGTGCCATGTCATCTGCTGGTGTTGGTCCGTTGTGTTTTCTGAGGTCCGAGGTCAACGCTGCCATCTACCAGGATATTTTAGAGCACATTATACTTCCTGCTGCTGACCAACTATTATCAGCCACTATGAGAACATGGGCTCTCCTAACACCTGAGCAGTGCCACAGACTGATGGACTCCATGCCACACCACATTGCTGCAGTAATCCAGGCCAAAGGAGCCCCAACTAAATAGTGACGTCTGAACATGTTCATACTTTTCAGTTGGCCAATGCTTCAAAAAAAATTCTTTGCATTAGTCATCAGTTATGATCATCAAAATTAAAGATTAGAAATATATCAGTGTGTGTGTGTGTGTGTGTGTGTGTGTGTGTGTGTGTGTGTGTGTGTGTGTGTGTGTGTGTGTGTGTGTGTGTGTGTGTGTGTGTGTGTGTGTGTGTGTGTGTGTGTGATGAATTAATCTAATATACAAATTTCTCTTTTGGAATGGAATTACTAAAATAAATCAACTTTGATTATATAACTTTATGACGAGCACCTTTAATAAAAAAAATTAAAATAAGTAGCATTTCCCGTCTTTTCCACTAGAGGGAGACAGCAGCCTAAACATTATTCCTGTATTTCCAAACTTTTGCCTGACTGGATTTAAATTAAAATAACTTTTCATTGTGATGACAACAGAAACCTAAAGTTTTCTGGAAGTTTTCCATGCATCAGAAAAACGCTGTATGACTTGTACAGGTCATTCTAAAAACAATGTGCATATTGTGATAAAGTACATTATTGTCTGTAATGTACTGATAAACATTAGACTTTCATATATATTAGATTCATTACACACAACTGAAGTAGTTCAAGCCTTTTATTGTTTCTAATATTGATGATTATGGCATACAGCTCATGCAAACCCAAAATTCCTATCCCAAAAAATTAGCATATTTCATCCGACCAATAAAAGAAAAGTGGTTTTAATACACAAAAAAGTCAACCTTAAATAATTATGTTCAGTTATGCACGCAATACTTGGTCGGGAATCCTTTTGCAGAAATGACTGCTTCGATGCGGCGTGGCATGGAGGCAATCAGCCTGTGGCACTGCTGAGGTGTTATGGAGGCACAGGATGCTTCGATAGCGGCCTTAAGCTCATCCAGAGTGTTGGGTCTTGCGTCTCTCAACTTTCTCTTCACAATATCCCACAGGTTCTCTACGGGGTTCAGGTCAGGAGAGTTGGCAGGCCAACTGAGCACAGTAATACCATGGTCAGTAAACCATTTACCAGTGGTGTTGGCGCTGTGAGCAGGTGCCAGGTCGTGCTGAAAAATGAAATCTTCATCTCCATAAAGCTTTTCAGCAGATGGAAGCATGAAGTGCTCCAGCATCTCCTGATAGCTAGCTGCATTGACCCTGCCCTTGATAAAACACAGTGGACCAACACCAGCAGCTGACATGGCACCCCAGACCATCACTGACTGTGGGTACTTGGCACTGGACTTCAGGCATGTTGGCTTTTCCCTCTGCCCAGTCTTCCTCCAGACTCTGGCACCTTGATTTCTGAATGACATGCAAAATTTACTTTCATCCAAAAAAGTACTTTGGACCACTGAGCAACAGTTCAGTGCTGCTTCTCTGTAGCCCAGGTCAGGCGCTTCTGCCGCTGTTTCTGGTTCAAAGGTGGCTTGACCTGGGGAATGCGGCACCTGTAGCCCATTTCCTGCACACACCTGTACACGGTGGCTCTGGATGTCTCTACTCCAGACTCAGTCCACTGCTTCCGCAGGTCCCCCAAGGTCTGGAATCGGTCCTTCTCCACAATCTTCCTCAGGGTCTGGTCACATCTTCTCGTTGTGCAGCGTTTTCTGCCACACTTTTCCTTCCCACAGACCTCCCACTGAGGTGCCTTGATACAGCACTTTGGGAACAGCCTATTCAGAAATTTCTTTCTGTGTCTTACCCTCTTGCTTGAGGGTGTCAATGATGGCCTTCTGGACTCAAGTCGGCAGTCTTACCCATGATTGCGGTTTTGAGTAATGAACCAGACTGGGAGTTTTTAAAAGCCTCAGGAATCTTTTGCAGGTGTTTAGAGGTAATTAGTTGATTCAGATGATTAGGTTAATAGCTCGTTCAGAGAACCTTTTCATGATATGCTAATTTTTTTTAGATAGGAATGTTGGGTTTGCAAGAGCTGTATGCCAGAATCATCAATATTAGAAACAATAAAAGGCTTGAACTACTTCAGTTGTGTGTAATGAATCTTATATGAAAGTCTAATGTTTATCAGTACATTACAGACAATAATGAACTTTATCACAATATGCTATTTTTTGAGGACTTGGATATTATTTTACTTAGAAAACTCATCCCGGACACTTCCTGTCCTGCAACTCATCCCGGACACTTCCTGTCCTGCAACACTGATTTCATCTCCAACCACAAACGATTTAACTCACCTTTGCGATGACTCATATGGAGGTTGACGCAAAGAAACACGTTATTACCTAAAATTAGGACGAAAGCGCTCTCCTATACACACCCCCTCCCCAGTGAAACCATCTGAACCAGTTCTGAGCAGAAAGTGTGAGTTTCTGCCTCGGAGCAGCGGGTTCAGCTGGAGCTGATGCAGCCATCCTCTTCCGTCAGCTCTGGATAAACACCCCATTTACATGTCTGAGGGCATTGGTTGTAGCCGAGTTACAGTTGGGCATTTTAGAAAAAATGACCACGAGTAAATTTGAAGTCAAAGAAATACAACTTTATTTAAGCGTAAACAAAAAGACAAACAAAAGAACTGCATAGGAAATGTTTAAAGTCCACAGAGTGCAGAGAGAGTAGTGCATGGCCAAAATATTATAGTCTCCACTGCCTTGTTTAGACTTCAGACCTGACTTCTGCTCATCCATTCAGCACAGCGTGTGTGTGTGTGTCAAGGGTGGGTGTGCCGACACACACTCACAAAACAGGTTAAACTGATAAAACACACACACAGAGCAGTTTGGATACAGAAGCATCAGCAGCACTCATCTAAACTCAGCGGGCCACGCCGGCTTGCCCCGCCTCGTGGACTGAGAGGAGGATACATTCAGTGGATTTCTGCTTAGATAACAGCAGACGCAGCGCATAAACACAGAGCTCGCTCCGGGGCCGCCCAGCTGCTGGGAGAACACGACTTCACAGGAAATGGTACCAAACCAAGAGGATGAGCTGCCACGGGCCAGAGGCCTCCTGCCTCAGCTGATGCTGAAGCGGTTTATTAACAAACACGCCTCTGTTTGTTTCACAACACATGACAGAACTCTGATGTTTTTTTTATTTAGTGGGTGTTGTCTGATCCGTCTGTCACACTCCCAGTAGCTGCTGGCAGCAAGCAAGCACAAACAAGAACCCATTTATCCCTTTTCTTCACAAAATACATTCTAAAAGGGCCAATGAGCACCAAGTGGTGTGAAGCATTTGTACTTTTTGTAAGGAAAATTAAAAAGTTAGCAAAAAGGGGATTAATCAGGGGAAACTAATCAAACTAATCATTTTTATTCAAATTGAGAAATCATTTGTTTCATATATTTAAATGGACACTCAAAAGAATCAGACTAGTAGGGATAAAAGGTCACTACGTTTTCACTAGGGGACACATTTCAATGAAACACCAGCAGCACACGGCTGCTAGGAACAACCTGAGCTTAGTTTTTGTTTGTTCTCCTTTCTAAATTTTTCCTAAACCACTTTTCAATTCTTTCTTTAGAGTATACAATCATTTCAAAAGGAGGTCTTTGACCTTGCACATCTCCTCTGGAGCGGCTTTGTGTTGCTTCTCTCCCTTAAAGAGAAAGTTCAGATCTTTAGAAGCAAGTGGATAAACCTCAAGTTTGGAGATAACGTGTTTGGTTTTGACAAGATTGACAAGCTAACAGCTAGTCCAAGTATAACAGTTTTCTTAAAACAATAAACAAGCATACTTCTCACAGCTGTTTACAAATAATTTAAGGGCATGTGCAGCTAGCCGTTCCCGTTTAGCATCCCACATTTCCTTATGCAGTCTTCTTATATCCCATCAGGGTAAGAACATAATACTGAGGCCAGATGATTTATGGGTCAATTTGACTTCCTAACTAGCGGTTAGCATTCAAAAGGCTATTTATAACATTGTTCTTGATCCTTCAGCAGAAACCCGACATCTAAAGATCTGAACTATCCCTTCAATGTCTCAACAGGCGAGAAACCAAGATGGTGGACTAACACAGGAAGTCTTCTTGCCAACAAATCAGAGTTTTTAACGCCATTTGGGAAAAGATGATTGCTGAATTGTGAAAACAAGTAATTTTCAACAATGCCAATGAGACTGTTGTGTTGGAAGCTAATAAACATCTGTAAATGACATTTGCGTTTGTTCACACATATTACCTAATTGGAAGAAGAGAAATAAAGCGGCGTGATAAACGCTTCTTTAGTCTCGTGCTTGCTGGACAGGTTTTGCTCCACAGAGCCTCCAGAGAACAGGAAATACAATCGCAAAGGTCAAATCTTAATTCCATCCAACAAATTATTAAACTCACATAAACACATCTTTGGGTAAATATTTTGGAGAAAAAAAACATCCCAACAATCAGCTACCCACCCTATCTGTGTCTTTCACCACCTATCCGTGAGACATCAGTATAATACAAAGACTTTTAAAGCATGCAACAAATGAAATACAAATAAATGTTTAAAATTCATTTTTCCTCTTTAAGAGTGAAGACCTAAGGATCTTAAAGATAGAATTCTGCAATCTCAATTAAAAAAGGTAAAAGAAAAACAAACGGATGCAACATTGAGTGAACATCTGAGTAATACTGAAAATCAAAAAAAACAAAAAAACAATCTTATTGGTTGAAAACAGGCATTGTGTTCAAAGCAGCAGGATCTGTGGACTCAAACTGGCTCATCATCAGCAAACAAGCCGAGCTTAAAGGGAGGTTTCAACCTGGCGTTGGGCGTCGGTGCCACACGGACGCTCCTAAAGCTCAGAAAACACGTTGACCTAATAAATAACAACTCAACCAGCATCACTGCAGATGTTCTAAAGAGCCCAGATGTCAGTGGAAGAGTGAAACATCCCTTTAAACTTGGAGCAAGTCTGCTGGCACACATTAGGTGTAGCCCTCTGAAGTGTTGTTTTGAAACCACAGTCAGAACGGTGGCGTTTGGACTCGTTTCAACATCCTCCACAAGCAACATCAAGCTAATATTCACACTGACAAGCGGATGTGTTGTGCTGAAACTAGAGGTCATTCATGTGCATTCAATGGCGGATACTTTTAAGTTCTAACTCCTTTAAAAGAGGCCACTTCCTCTAACCCCCTCACCCCTGGCGCACAGTGACAAATACAAGCTGAACCAGTATGTTCATCATCATCATCATCATCATCATCATCATCATGAGGTAAAGACAAACAGGGCCCAGCCCTCCTAAGTGCATCCAATCAGAGGAGGAGGATTTATCCTCAGCTGCTCTGATTTTCTATCTAATGATATAATGGTCCAGTGACACTTAGTCTACAACGGTGTGGTCCAGTGCCAACCCAGTTTGGCACCAGAACTCTCACAGATCAATTTGGCACAATGCTCTCATCAGAAATACGTGGTTTTGATGATGAAAGGCATAATTGACCAGGCAGTTTACAGTAGATTCACCAGACTAGACGCGGTTCAGTGTGGCGATAATGGCCGTGGTGCAACAGTACCGTGATCTTTGGTCCTTGAGCTGCGGGGCATGTGCCGCACTGTGAAGCCAGAAGCTATCCGAGGTAAAAAATATTATTCTATGTGCTTAAATAAGAGCAGGTCTGAAGTATTCACAACCAATAACAAGTTGAGGTATTTGAGCGATTAAATGCACAGTAGCTACGAGAAACACGTGAGGTATTCAGAAGTCGAGGTGCGTAAGAAACTAGGTCAAACAGTAAAAGATACATGAGAACATAAATCCTGGTCATGTCGACAGCTGAGGGGAGTGCGTCTGAAATGTTCTATAGATTTGGATTGATTTTTCTGCCGCTAACAGAAGCATCTGCATCGCATGGTCGCGGTATGTCGGGTTTGAGAAGCCACGATGAGTTTAGCGTTGAGCCGTGGTTTGATGAGGGGGAGAGAATCGGGTTCTCTTTGGTGTTCTCTCACAGCTCCAGGGCCGTGGTCTTAGCAGGAAGCAATGGCACTTCTAAAAACTCCACCCTTCAAAGCCTGAAGTGGACAGTGGGACAAACTCCGGGAGCTGCTGGAACTCTTCTCTATTGAAAACCTTTAGGAGGGGTGGTGGGGGTAAGCTGCTTTAATTGCCATATTTAAAGTTGGCCGTTGTGCAGAGATTCTACCTTTGGTTGACTCTAGTAGTTGGTCTGTAGACCTCCATCTTTAGAGGAATCTGTCTACTAATTTGGAGACGTTTCCTTAACTCCAAGCATAAATAAATAGAGCAGGGCTTTGTGATGGCGCCCCCTCGTCGGACTGCACTAAAGCCCTGGCCCTAGGAGCCAGAGGGCATGGCTTTCAACCACCATCTATATTGTTATTAGGCCTTTAACTCGATGTCATTGTCCTCTGGACGGCCAAAATCACGCGCCTACTTCTGAGGCTTTTATCAAACAGCATGCCTTCTTAAAAGGTATCATTCAACTAAATAGTTCATTTTCTATCCGATTTTCAAGGATCCAACTCCTAAATCTTTCTGTGGGTCCTCTCGTTTGGAGGATACAAAGCTATTTTTTCTTCCCTAAAATTCATTTTTAACTTAAACTGGAGAGCCCTAACGTACATTTTTACACAAGTTCGTCCAGCCGTATAATAGATAATGAGATTGGGAACATTTTAAAGATATTAGGTCATTTTAGAGCTGATTTCCTAAACTGTAACTATACTCATTCATAAATTCATCAAATCAGCGTTAGCCAGTCAAGCTAGCGGGAGAAAAGCACTGATCGTTTTAATCTGTTCTACGATGACCTGAGCTCATGTTGATTCCGTCAAGTTTGGCATTGCTTCACACGGTCGTGCTCAGCTTTCACCACGTTTCGAACTCGACAGGGAAAGGGTCGCCAGCTAGACACTGGTCAACAAACACAGGAGGGACATCGGTTTCCTCTCCAGTGGGAAACCATCAGGCAGCCTCTACAGCGGTCTGAGGAACGCATCAGCAACAACATTCAGGAGCTTCACTTTAACTCCTCATCTGAAAACGCACAGCAAGAATTCTATTATTCCTGTGCAAATACCAACCCAAGAATCTATTCATTTTCTATTGTCTCTTAAATAAAGCATAGAGGTAGACTGTCTTCTTTGTAAAACTTCACGGACTAAAACCTCTGCTCACTGACTATGAGTACATTCACAAAGAGCTAAATGAGGTAGGTGTGGAGCAGAGGGTACAAGGTTTCAAGAAGTGAGAAATTCCCTGAGATGTGTACTAATAAAAAAAAAAAGAGTGATTGAGAGAACTGAGAGATGCTGAAAGTCAAAGGGGAATATGTTGCTTTTAACTGATAATCAACTAGTAAAGGTCCCCGGTATTTGTGCTACAGGTGTGTTTTAGTTAAAGGAACAAAATGGATTTAACGTCCTTTGGCTTCAGCGTTTTCTCAGTCCTCTCTGAACTCGCTACCTTTCTGTTGATTGATTCTCTCTCCTCCATTTCCTTCATTGTGGAAAAGAAAGAAAAAAACTGCAAAAAAGGGCAAACAGAGGGAGAGAATGCAAAAATAGAACTTTCTTTCTAGAACTTGAGGATACGGTTGTTCCCAAAGTCAACGACCACGATGACACCATCGGGTGTCACGGCCACACCGGAGGGGCGGTCCATCTGTCCATAGCCACTCCCCTGCGTGCCGAATTTGCATAAAAAGTTTCCGTTGGGCTCGAATATTTGGATTCTGTGGTTGCGGGAGTCGGCCACGACGATGCGGTTCTCCTGGTCCACGGCGACTCCTTGTGGCCGCAGGAACTGCCCGTTCCCGGTCCCCTCAGAGCCCAGAAAGCGAGCCGACTGGCAGTCCGGCCGGATCACCAGGAGCCGGTGGTTGTTGAAGTCGGTCACTACCAGGTGGTCTTCATGGTTAAAGGCTACTCCTCTTGGGGAGTCGAAGTGTTTCCATAAAGCCCCCTCAAAGCCGTACTTGTTGAGGAAGGAGCCATCGGGGCCGAAGAGCTGCACGCGGTGGTTCCTGGTGTCTGAGACCAGGATCTTGCCCTCGGAGTTGACAGCCACATCCCAGGGATAGTTGAACTGCCCGTTCTTGGTTCCCTTTTCCCCAAACTTCAGGAGAAACTGGCCCTCAAACGTAAACACCTGCCAGACAGAGAAAATGTCTCAAAGCCCAGCATGTTTACATGTGGATCAGAGGACGAGCAAGCCAGAGGAGCTGAGCATTTAGCTACATAAATACAAGTGTTCACAACTTTTTCAAAAGTACATTTTGTTTTTCATGCTGCGTTGCCATGGCTTCAATGTTCTAACACATACCCTGAAATGACAGATGGTATGGATTAAGCCTTTGTACCTGCACACGGTGATTGTCCTTATCAGCCACGACGATTCGTCTCTGACTGTCACAGGCGACCCCGGCTGGGCGGTCAAACTGACCGGGTCGAGACCCCAGAGAGCCAAACTTATGGTGGAAGGCACCGCAAGGTTTGAATATCTGTGCAGAGAAACCATCCTCAGTCACCTGCAACATTACTCTAATAAAACAGTTTATGGGAACGGTGTGTGTACCTGTATGCGGTTGTTGCTGCGATCAGCCACCACAACGTATCCCTCCTTGTCCACACTGATGCCCCAAGGACGACATAGCTGGCCGTCTCCTTCCCCCTCAGATCCAAACGATGACACCTGGGAGCCAAGCGAGCCGTAGCTTCGACCCGATTTCACCATCACTTTGAAGGGACTGCCTTGGATGTGTTGGTTACACACCAGCACAGACACCAGGTGCTCCCCCTCGGTTTTGGCGAGGTAGCTGATGGTGTACGAGCCGTTCTGGTGGTCCGTCACCTCCACCGCAGATAGGTTTCCATCTGCAACTGACATGACGACTGCAGACACGGCGTCTCCGCCCGAGAGACGTGGCTCACCATCGTGATCGTATCCGACCACCGTGAATGAGGCCGGCTTGCCACGAACTACGTTCTTCAGACCCTCGCCATGAGCTTTGGTGACGGGGGCGAAGGCCCCGCTGCTGATCATGCCCATGGACTGGATAGCGATGTACAGCGCCTGTTTCAACGACAAATACAATCAGCTATTTGCTTTGTGAAGTTATGAGAAAGGTATAAGCCCGTTTAATTGCCAACCTGGTCTGGAGGAGTGAACATGAAGCGTTCGTCCTCCTGCGGCTGCAGCAGGCCCCGGAGGGCCTTGAGCTCATGGATCTGGGTCAGCATTCGCTCCCTGGCCAGCAGAACATCGAGGTGGTGGCCCTCGTCCAGCACCTGGCTGACAGCAGCTATGGTGCCATCTAATTTGGTCAGACTCTGGTGGAGTTTCTCCACCTGCAGGTATAGAGACTTGGCCTTCACCTGACGGATCTTCTCCAGCTGAAAAACAAACAAACAAACAAAAAAACAGCTTAATAAATGAGTTTTGTTAGTAAATATCAATTTAAGGTTCAGGCAAATGAAACAAGAGCTCCAAGAAAATTTAAGCTGCAAAAGGTGAACTGGGAAAAATGAATATTTTGAACTCCTTCAATTTTATATTATAAACATAAACATTTTAGAACCAGTTGGATTGTAACTGGTCCCAGTAGCCCTGCCCTCTGGGTGGCTCACCATGCCATGTTGTTGAGAAACACTAGCTTTTAAACAAGACATTTGTAAAACACGTTAAGTGGAGCACATTTAGGGCTGTACAACCCCCCAAGGCCCTTTACAACACACACACACACGCACACACACACACACACACACACACACACACACACACACGTAACTAAGTTTACCGCTTATAGGAGCCATCTTTCCAGGTTAAATGTAATACTCTATAGAATTACTTTTTATTCTAATCATTCTTATAAATTAAAAAAGACAAAAACCCCAGAGGGGAACAAACATCAAAAACATTATGTAGGAAAACTCCAGTTTCATTCAGCTCATTGTTGAAGAAAAAACAAGAACTACTCATCACCTAACCCAGGAACATTTTGGTTTCCTTCAGAGGTCAGATCCATTTTCACTACAGACGGAGTAAAAGGCCTTAAAGAGGGCGGGGGCTGGTAGAACCGGAGGCGCTGGGCCTGGTCTCTCACCTAACATCAGCTAACACAAAGACAGTAACACAATGGCTCAACTGGCTCTTTGGTCAGGGAGGGACTCGGGGAGACACAGAGTCCAAAAGATCTGAAACTAAAATTAGCATCTGTGAGACTAAAGTTACGTTTTATAGTTGGAGAAGACAAGCTGGGCTTTCTGACGTTTACACGACCAGTTGTAGAAGAGCTTCAGATAAACGGACCCCGCACAGCCACGACATCACACTAATGTGTTACTACCTATGTTAAAACCATTCTATCAAACCTTTTCATATTTTTGAATCATATTATTGAGTCAATATGTGCTAAAATGACTGTACAGAGTTAATGAAAGGTCACTCAGACCCCCACCGCAATATGTGGTCAGATTATCGCACTTGCAACTTCAGAGTGGTCTGGTCCTTGTTGGATTCAGTAAAGTGGAGCCGGCATGCCTGGCACTGCTGTCTGCTTCCAGCATGTCTTAGATGAACACAGCTGATTAGTTTGATTAAGTGATGGACCGCTCCAGCAGACACTAATGAAGGCTGGGGAGACATTTCAACTGTTAGATTAAGGTGTTAAAAAAACACAAACGCACAGCGAGGAGATAACTTTCACTTTTGCTTTCACTGCATGGACACCAGGGGGTGCTAAAGGCAAGCCAAAAGGGTTTAGTGTCCCTTTAATAAGACCAATAAGTTCTAATACAGCCTTGTCCAAGTGGATGCACAGCCACAGATTATAGGTTCTCATTACAAGTAACGCTGACTCACTGGGAGGAAGGGCTACATCAGATTTCCTGGCATTACTGGTGACCATCATCCTGCAGGGTACCTGCAGGTTTAAGGGAGCCAAATTTAAGACTTTTTAAACCCTTTCCTGGCATCAGAAAACAGAAGAGGAGTCATTTCCAGTGTCTGGTATGACTCAGAGTGGGCCGGCTCAACTTGCAAGCTTTCAACACCGGAGTGGACGGTTACCACGTCACTCCCTGGAGGCTGAAGTTACCAGTTCCAGTTGAAGGTTTGTTTTTGAGCTGTGAAATAGGTTCTTTCTTTAAATGACTTTTACTTCCTGAATTGCAAGAAGATCTTGACGTCTTAATTTTCTGAAATTGGTGAGGGTTTTATGAGCATACACAGGTTTAACATTCACCCTGGCTGCTTTCATCTAGGGCTGAAACGATTCCTCGAGTACCTCGAATAATTAGAGTACAAAAAAAAAAACTCGAGTCAAATTCTCTGCCTCGAGGCTTCATTTAATAAATGTTTAATTCATGACAGAAAATGTCAAAAGTGTGGGGCCATTTTTCACGTCGTAAGGCGGAAAACGTAGTCCAGTGTTAATACTGTAAAATGGATTTAGCCTACCACAACACCACATCCTCCATGCTGCAGCACCCGACCAGGAAACATCCACATGTAAATGTCACTTCTGCAAGCGGACTCGGAGGTCCGCTATATATTCTGCGGACACTGTGTGACTTTTTCATTTGTAGCACTCAGTTTCTGCTCACACTGTGCGTCTGGTAGCAACACGTCAGACCTAAAATGTGCTAAAAATAGCTGTTTTTACAACACGTCGGGCTTTTTATTGTGTTGTTATTGATGTGTGTTGTCCCTCAGGATTGCTGCAGGAGGACGCAGGTATTTATGAGGAAAACGAAAGAAAGTAAATGTTTTGTGATAGTATAATTTAACATAACCACGGCAAACATGCTTTCTCGACAATACTTGTTATTGTGTGAGAAAAAAAAGTGTAGAAATTAAAATGGACGTGTGTTAATAGGGAAACAGCTGGCGAGCCATGTTTGCGCATGCGCCGTGAGCGGTTCTGGTGCTGTGTGGGCCGCAGCCGCTCGCAGCTCTTCTCGCGCGAGGGGAAAATCGGCTCAGGTTGTGTACTTATGCAATTGCTTGCTCATTTTAAGAGGTCTTTCATATTTTATAACTTGCAATTTGATATAATGGTTTACAAACACAAAAGAGTAATTCATTAGAGTACTCGATTAATCGATAAAAGATTCGATAGAGTACTCGATTACAAAAATAGCTGCAGCCCTACTTTCGTCACCAAAATAAAGACGTGGAGATGAAGTTCATTGTGCCTCAGTAAGTGAACTCATGAAAAGGTTTCTCCTAATAGGCACCTGATAGTAGTGAGAGAATTAGATATCTTTAGACCTGCTAACAGTTTCGGATTCTCACTGAAGCCTTCTTCATGGTCTTCAGTGAGAATCTGAAACTCACTAATATCAAGTGCTTATTAGAAGACACCTTTTCACTCAAATAAAGACATACTTGTTAAGACTTGTGACGCAGTTACCTTGTGGTAGGTCAGAAAAGACAAGAGGGGGTTCTGGGTTGTGTCGTTGCAAACCTGAAATCAGTATCGCAAACAGCACCCCCCCCCCCCCCAATTCACACACACATGCTGACTAGTTCCTGTGACTATCTCCGATGGTTAGTGTTAGACTTCACCCCCACTCCGACTCTCACACATGACAAAGAAACAGGAAGAAGGTGTAACAGACCCCCCTAAAGGGGTGACATGTGAAAACACAATCACCCCTAAGCACGGTAACCATTACACATTTAGGTCACAATTAGCAGCACAAATTATTTTTCTACAAATCTGCCCAGAAAGCCCAACATGTACTTAAAACCAGCATCTCACTCGTCTGGGACCAACGATGACTAACCACTGACGGGATTTACAAGAGACTTCACAAAATACAAGATAATAGCAAAATAATTTTCACTTTGACAGAATTTCAAACACTCTAAAAACTTTGCTAAGCACAACTTGTAACAAAGTAAGATCAGATACTTTGCTAAAACGTTTGTGATGACATCATATGCTCAATGATGTAAAACGTGCAGCAAAGGTATTGTCCATGCTTATTCGGTGCAATTCCAACTGAATATTTACACGTTTTCACTTTTGTGTCACCAAGTAGTCACCAACAATCACAGCCCAATGATGTCATGGTTTTAGTGGATTTACACTTTAACTCCCCTGGTAGGAAATATTTCCTCTCCTGAATTATTGCTTTTATACCACTTTGGACCAATGGTTTAGGTTACAAATCCAGAAGTGTGGCATCTACGCTGTGGTAGAAGTTAATACTTGAGTCCTTCTCATACACAGCTTTTTGGTTGCAGCACAGAACCTGAATAGGGGACATTAGCTTAGCTTCCATAGAGAACTCGAGCTGAAGTCCACATCTATGTTAGAAACAGTCATGGCTCCACGTGCTACACTAGAGTCTCTGTGTTGTTGGGCCTCTGGCTCAACATGGGAATGCAAAACAGCCTCAGCCTTCTCCCACCAAAATCTATAGCTCTTTTACACACCTTTATGGCCATAAGTACAGCAGGACCATGTCAAAGGTCCCAGCCGTCCTTCTGGAAAGTTCTCCAATGAGCTAAAAATGGCCAATGGCCTAAAGCAAAAAAAATGTATGCGTTCTACATTTTAAACATCTATTTTTAAAGGCACGGTATGTAATATTTTTACTTGTTTACTATCAAATTCTGCATATCCATTCACAAATGTGTCCTTTTTCATTCATATTTCTCACCGTTTATTCTAAATATTCCTATTGGCTTGACATTTTACATTTTTATATACTTAAACTGGTCTACGCTCAGCTAATGCAGGAAATGGAGGCAGAAGCTCATTTTCGTGTTCAGCCTGCATGAGAAACTGAGTGAAGGATAATTTTTAAAAATAACTAAAAATGGTTCATCAGTGAACCTGCTCTTTGATAGATACTGGTGAGTCTCATGTGACACCCACCTCCCATCTCAGGAAAAGCAAAAAATTCCAGTAAAGCTGGATTTATTTCTAGTCTTCCTTACGACATCTAAATCACTCCTAGACAGAGCCCTGCACGGGCCTAAAATCTGAGCCCGTGTCCGGCCCGGTCCGAGGGGGTGGAGCCCCAGCCCCAGCCCGACCCGGTCCGAAAAGGTTTTCGGGATTCTCTGGCCCGACCAGAGCCCGACTTTTTTTTAACCAACTAAATGAAAACAAAGTGCGTCAATCCTGACCAATGTGTTAAAAGACGTGCAGGATCCGATCAATTTGTTTTTCCCTCGTTTACCATCACGGAGATAACGGCGCAGGCTCTGGTGGTAATCGAGTTAAATTTGATCTCTTTCCAACAATTTTCACAAGAAAACAAAACAGTTAAAAGCAGGGCTTGTGTTGTGTTGACCGGACAGTTCCCGTATTTGACCGTTTATTTTGACGGAGAAAGAATAGAAAGAATTACCCCGACGCATGCAGACAAACTGACAT